GTTCATCCATCTTATACATATCATTCGGTTGAAGGGTTCTTTTGTAGCCTTTACGTAATAATGGTGTGACCCACCACATGAATGCTTTTGAAATTATGTTGGTGTTCAGAAGCGGGAATACTTTCCTCTCATCATCATTATCAGGAATAGGATCGATTTTTTTACTGAAAAACAAAGATAATAAACGTTTCTGGGGGTATATATCAGAATCTGTGATTCTCTCTATATCTTCACTATTCAAGTAAGTCTGAGGAATGTTCTTATCAACTTTATATTCACCCGTAGGAAGTACTGTATCAGAACCTGGCCATTCTTTGGATTCTAGAGATGGGTCACACTTATCAATTGAAGTTGAAGGATGAGACTCCGCTGAGTTTAATTCATAAGCATTGTTCTCATAATTTTCAGATTTTAAGTCCATAGATAACGACTTTAAAAATGCTAGGACCTCTTTTAAATAATAAATAGTATAAACTTATTTTAAAAGATCAAAAAGGGGCCATAGAAATCATCAAATTAACTAATTTACAAAAGGTTAACTTTTCTATTTATATACTGATATTATAGGCGTGTGCTTATTTATGTTTGAAGAAATACTAAGACATATCATCGTAGGTTTCTCTTTCTTGCTGCAGTTGCTTTATGATGCCCATTGTAAAAACTTTTTCTTTTGTTCCGTTCTGAGTTCGGGTATCGAGCTAGCTGGATAATAACATAGATAAGAAAAAAAAAATTATTAACTGGAAAAAGGAAAGGAGAGATTGTAAGGTTGACACATATCGAAAACCGTCTACAACTGGAAATATTAGCCCCTATTGAGAGTGGGTATATTGATGAACATGAGATGTAACAAAGAACGGAATTATAAAGAGTAGAATAACTAAAGTAGAAAATCAAAGAGATGAGCTTCTAAATCATCTCATGAGAAACAATAGTATATAATAAGTTATGCACAATTAAAAACTAGACAAATGAAAAGACGGCATTAGACATATATTTAGAGAAAGAAACAAAGGATAAAAGGGCGATCATCCTACTCGGAGTATACTATACACGGAGTTAATGAAACCGAGATACACGAGAAATGGACTAAAAGTATAATAGTTGATAACTAAATTCAATTGTCAAAGTTAAAAATTCAGATATAAAAGGAAAGGGAAACTCCCCTGCATAAGTATGTGTAAGCCCTCTCTTCTAGAGTCCACATCTTTCAGAGGGTTCTATTTTCGTATCTATTTTATTCAGTCTAGAGCACTTATCAGCTGAATGTTTTAATTTCTTATCTATTGTTTTGTGATCCCACGCTTTCTACCTTTATATCTGATAAGCCAGATTCATGAGCTTACTCAACTATATGTTCATATTATATTAATCTCTTATAAAACTATAATGTTCGATTTCTTATCAACCTTGTTGCGTATTGCCTTTCACTCTCATAAATAAGTCACCCTCAATATGGCCTAACATTTCAAGTTGAAGGCAGTTTTCGATTTCGATATGTGTCGCCAATAGACTAAGTTGTGTACCGGATAATTTTGAGCAAGAGGCTACACAACCATATCTATTGGTGACTCGTCTTGGTAAAATTAACATACCGTACATTAGTAGTCTCTTGAACTAGGGATTTTCAGACTTAAAGTATATAAAGAAAGCAGAATAAAAAACACGTCATAAGCGTAAACGCAGCTAGAAACATACAAACCCTCTATCCGAATACCAGGGCAATTTTATATTTCAGATGACTAAGATATAAAAAAAAGTTAATGATTGATTACTTTTCACTATACTTACTATTCCAATGTAGAAAAATTAGATAGTGGACTTTTATAAGGGGTAAAGAATAGAAAATCATAGCGAAACTTCTTCTAACAGTTACTGGCTTAGAACGACATCGGCTGAAACAAACGAGATTGGTGAGACTGATGAGACTAATGAGGATTCTGATAATGACAGATAAATAATTGGTTAAATAATGAAAGTAAAAATGTATATATTTGATGTTTAGACTTTCTTTCAGTGAATTTTCTGATAGTAGTAAGGTTAAGTGAAACTTGATATGTAAAATATTGTACATAAACTTTCCCAAAAATGAAAGTTTTCGTCTTTTATATCAATTTTATTTTACTACTCTATAGATAGTCAACAATAGATTAAGCCACAAAAGATATTATTACCCACTAGTTCAGATGGATCCATCATCATATAACAATCATAATATATATATGATCAAACTAGAGGAGGGTTCCATTATTTTAATATACATTATCATCCCTATTACATCAGTAAGAACATATTTTCAGAGCTAATTGAGTAGAGACTAGGAATTTGAAAAAACAAGTTCCAATAACAACTAAAGACCATTGGTAATCTAAATAATTTTGCTCGAAGAAAAAGAAGGTAAATAAAAACATGTGTATAGTATGTTTGTGATTAATGCACAAGTGACTACGATGGCCGTGAAAAATAAGCATTTAGATATGTTAAAAAGAATCCCACGCTGCCTTGTTGTCTTCCAGGACCCTGATTCTTACGTTATCTCAGGCTAGTGTCCATTAAAACCTCATATTCGTAAATTTGTACCTAATTTTGATTATGCAGCTATTTATTTATATGGTGAAGCAACTATTATTACTGACAAACCTTTACTAGTAGGCATGATTACAAAATTAACAGGTCAGCAGGAGATAAAGCTACCTAATGGTCCAGATATTGTGAGGAAATGGGAGGTATCAGAGTCACCTTCTAAATATATTGATAAACTTTTAGAAGGAGTGGTTGGATTGAAAATAAATATTAAACATACACAAGGAAAATTCAACTTACAGCAAGATATGTCGAACTTAAACGTAAAAGGTATTTGAAGGTGTCCTTGATGGTTATGGAAAAGAGATGAAGGATGAAAAAATATGAACACTTAGTCGAATTGACAGAAGAACGATATCCACAATATTTAGGATATTGTCTTCACCTTGATTAATATATATTCTTTTATTTTTTTCAATTTGTAAGGGTTTGTCTCGCGTATCGATAAATTCATCTCATATGTATATGTATACGTATATAAGGTGCATGTAAATAACTGCATTATAGGACACATGAGCTACATGCACAACTGATCATGTAATAATATACCTTTATTTATTTTCTATATTTTCTGGTTTAAACGATGAGCTTTTTCAGAGTACTCGATTTACAAATTCAATGCCAATCTTACGTTTTGTTTATTGATATATTTTTTATTTGGTGTTCAAATAAAAAATTGGTTTCGTTTTCTTATAATTTAGAGGTATATTTAAGTGGAGTCAGTAATTGTACCTTGGTAAGATACTCCACAAGTTAATATTTTTATATTTATTGCTAAAATCTATCCACTGATACATCATTATCATATTTTCGAAAACTGACAAACAACGTTGTTAATAGGTTGTATTTCTTTTATTAGTGCATATCCCTCATTCAAATACACAAGATATTGTAGAAAATAATAATAAACATGAGAAATTGTTCTAAATATAATTTCTTCAAGAATTTTTTTCTTTTTAATTGGGGCTTCAAGAAGACATCTGGTGTACTGCGTAATCTTGCCTACATCAATTACAATAATTTTGCTACGTAAAGAAATGTTTCCATATATTTTCATCGGCACTAAATTGAGAATATTGTCAATAAAAGCACCTAGGAAACCGGAAGTAGAAAATGGTAACCGTAAATAATGTGGGTTTTAAATTTTTTTTGACCCACCAGCAATAAAGCATATCAAAAATAAAACATATTCAACAATATCAAGAAAAAATTCATTTCTAATAACATCTTCTTAGTACTCTCTTTTCTTCTTTTTTCAATATCTCTAGTTGAGGATACTGCAAGTCTTTTGAAAATTTTGTATCTAAGTAATGACTGCACAATGATGTAGAGTTCAATATATTAATAAAATGCTAACGAAATATAATGAAGGAACGACGGAGACAAATAATGTGTTCTCTCAGGGGAGGTTGCCTGCCCCAGAGGAGATCACGAAGGAAATAAATGAGAGAGAAATCGATCTCAGATTCTAAATCCCAAGACAAACAAAACTATTCATTTCCAGGTGAGAAACAAAAAGATCGTATTGGTTCCTTTGCTAAACTTCAGTAATAATTCTTTTTTCTTGCCTTGTAGAGGATAGTGAGTGAGAAAATGTGCTACAGAAGGATTCCTGTGCGTGACACGTTCACGTACCTAACATAGAATCAACACACCCATATACGACCAATTAAACAGTGTTCGTCTACAAGAATTACCTAACAACGTCCCGAAATAGACATATGTTCACTGGAATGTCGATTTACAGTCGTGTGATTCCTTCTGTGCAAAAGCAAGCGCGTTGGTAAGAGCGGGCCGTACAGTTTTTCAAAAATAAGATGGAGAGGCAAAACAGGCACTGCTAAAAAGAAACAAAAAAAAACTTTTCCAGATTACCAACTAAATCTTTTAAACGATCTATCTAAATAGATATCCAGGAACGTAGTAACCAAACGCCATAACATATTTTTGTTTTTGTTTATTCCCTAAAAGAGGTTGTTCTGTTTATGTTATTTCCTTCCTAAAGGTGTCTGGAGTTTCATAGTTACAGATAAAGTTTTATTGACATGCCTTCTACAAAGATAAACTAAAAAAGCAAGTAGTAAAACTTTTCTGATATTCAGATTTTTTCACGATAATATACTTGCTTTCAAATAAGTTTTCTAAACGAAGTTATTTTTATGGGAACTGCTAATACTTAGAAGCAATGTGTCTGTCGAGCTAAAAACTAAGCCAAGTAAAAAATATTCTCTCTTTTTATCACCATTCGTTCATGTTTTTATCCATTAAAAAAGTACATTCGAAAAGTATATAAACAGAGGAACTTTGATATTTGTTTGAAAGTAGCTTTTGTACATTCTATTTCTGTTTTACTTTTTTCAGTTACATACTCATAGGAAGAGTCCAGTAAGAATATTATCCACTCGCTTATATACACAATGCAATACACTTCTGCTCTAGCCTTATTAGGTGCCGCTACTCTAGCCTCCGCTGCTACTCCAACTCCAGAACAAACTGCTGAATTAGTTGTTCTATTAAACGATGTTAACGACAGATTCGCTGATTACACATCCTGGTTCTTAGGTTCTGGTAGTGCTATCCCAGATGGTATCATCGATGTCTACATGGCTGTTCACACTGCTACCGACGAATCCTACACCACTATGTTCACTGGTGTTGACGTTGATGGTTTGCTAGCTATGGCCACATCTGTCCCATGGTACTCTTCTTACCTATCTTCAGATATTTCTGTCGCTATTGCCAGTGTTGAGGCTGCTGCCGAGACTTCTTCTGCTGCCGCTACCTCTGCCCCAGCTACTTCTTCTGATGTTGCTACCTCTGCTCCAGCTTCTGCTTCTGCTTCTGCCTCTGATGTCGCTACTTCTTCTGATGTCGCTACCTCTGCTCCAGCTTCTGCTTCTGCTTCTGCCTCTGATGTCGCTACCTCTGCTCCAGCTTCTGCTTCTGCTTCTGCTTCTGCTTCTGCCTCTGATGTCGCTTCTTCTGCTCCAGCTTCTGCTTCTGCTTCTGATGTCGCTACCTCTGCTAACGTCACCTCTGCTGCCGCCACTTCTATTGTTTCTCAAAGCAACTCTACTGCTACCCAAGAAACTACCACTAACACTGTCACTGACGTCAGTAGTCTAACTACCACTTTCTGCCCAGAAAGTCTTGTTATCACTACCTCTGCCTACGCTAACTCTACCGAGACTGTTACTGTTTGTGATGAATCTTGTCAATCTAGAAAGATTGCTGAAGCCACCACCACTGTCAACTCACTAACAACTACTACTGTTACTTCATGTGATGAAGCTTGTCACGCTTCCAAGTCTGCTGCTACTGTTACCAACACTCAATTTACCACTGCTACCATTACTTCTTGTGATGAAGTTTGTCACGCTTCCAAATCTGCTGCTGCTGGTACTACCACTGTTAAGGTTCAAGTTCAAACTTCTTCCTCTGCCTCTCACACTGTTGCTGTTCAAAGTGCTAATGGTGCTATCAAGCAATCCGCTGGTGTTGCTGCTGTCTTAGGTGCTGCTATTATGCTCCTATTATAATTGGAATAATTTTTCTTCATACCCCAAACTAATTCAATTTTTAAGCATTTTTATCACTAATAATTTCTTTGGATCAAAATTAAGACTAATTTTTTAAATATTTTTTTGATTCTTATCATTAATGTTCGTCATATTACTGTTCAAGGTATATATAATTATGCAAATTAATAATTCATGTATTATAAACAAGTTCAATTTTTTTTATTAGATATATTGATATTTTATGGCATTTAGATATGTATGACATTGTTTTTCTTCTTAGATATGTTTCATAGTTCATTGTTTTGTCAATGGACTATATTTAATTAGGGAAATATATTAGGATTTGTTATCAGAAAAAAAAAATTATTTAGTAAAACAAGTTTGAACAGCATGTTACTTCACGTAGTTACTCGGTTGACTTTTCTTGTTGACTGACGGTGTTGGCTTTAACGTTTGTGAATACATTATTTTAGTTTATAAAAATAAATAGGATTATAGATATTTATAAAATATAATATTTAAACACCAATTTCGGCCAATCTAGATCCTTTTATGGATTCAATTGCTACACCACCCATCGTATCACCTAAATCGGTAGATACCTCTAACAATTTTGCTGAGTTGTTGAAATGAGTGGTTGCTTCAACAATAGAACGAGCTACTTTTTCAGGGTTCGAGGATTTAAAGATACCAGAACCCACAAAAATACCTTCACACCCCAATTGCATTAACAATGCTGCATCTGCAGGAGTAGCAACACCACCTGCAGCAAAATTGACTACAGGTAATTTACCATTTTCTAATGTGGTCTTTAGCAAATCGATTGGGATTCTCAATTCCTCTGCCTTTGCTTTTAACCCGGCAACATCCTTTAACAGTGGTTGAAATTCTTCAATTTGACCTCTAATCTTAGATATATGTTTGACAGCCTCAGAAATATCCCCAGTACCTGCCTCTCCCTTGGTACGGATCATAGCAGCACCTTCATTAATCCTTCTTAACGCTTCACCTAGATCCTTGGCACCACAAACGAATGGAACTTTGAATTCATCTTTACGAATATGTTTAGACCAGTCAGCCGGAGTCAAGACTTCACTTTCATCGATATAGTCGACCTCAAGCTCTTCTAGAATTTGCGCTTCAACAAAATGTCCGATACGGACTTTAGCCATCACTGGGATAGACACGGCCTCCATGATCTCTTTTATCATCTTAGGGTCAGACATACGACACACTTGACCTGATTTTCTCATGTCTGCAGGAATCTTTTCCAAAGCCATAACAGCACAAGCACCGGCTTTCTCAGCAATAACTGCTTGTTCGGCAGTGACGACATCCATGATGACACCACCTTTCAACATCTGGGCCAGGCCAGCTTTCACTTTAAATTCAGACATTTCAGGATATTAAAATTATTCGCAAGAAAACCCTGTAAAAACGATATAAAATTGACAACAATAATGATCTTCTAATCAATGGTCAATTTCAAACTATATGATGGAAAAAATGATGCATATCAAAGGGAATAAATTAAATGGGTCACTCGACCTTATATATATATTGAAAACTAGATTATAGTTGAGAATTGATTGATTCACAACTATTTTCCAACCAAAATCACGAACCCATTCATCCAGCTCATCTACCCCTCCAACTATAATATCTCAATAAAAATTGACTCCTATTCTGGTTCTTATTCAATCCATCTATGAGTAACAAAGAGTGCAGTTGTAGCGTCTTAGCACCATCCACAAAACAGCAATATGTGCCACCTTTAGCAAATATTACGCAATTGTGGGTCATCGTCTCATTTCTGTTGAGATAGAGGTGAGTTTGTGCCGCGGTTTCTTCACAGAAAATTAATTCCAAACTGAAAAATTATTATCTCAGCTAATCCAATCAATTGTTGATCGGAAACAATAGAGACCGTTCAAGATTATTCAGATATCCATCTCTTTGGATTATCGTCTTAGAGGAGATCAGAAACGTGATATTTTGAAATGTTTTTAAAAGTGAACATAGGTGTTACTTTTTGGGGAGATAACCTGGTGAAAGTGTAGAGTCACACTTTAGTTTTCGTGTACGTAGGAAACTAAGCATATATAAATGAGTACCTTAAAAGTTTACAAGTAGAAACAAAGATATTCCTTAGTTCACGTATTGTTAAGTAAATAATAAGTTGAACAGTATATATTAATACATCGGAATGAACCAAAAGTGTATTGGTGTGTTGGCCTTGCAAGGTGCATTTATAGAACATGTCCATCATTTGGAGCGTTGTGTTGACAAGTATGGTTTACAATTTTATAATGGTGTAACTATTAAAATAATTACTGTTAGAACCAAAGAGGAATTATGGCAATGTGATGGCCTAGTAATTCCTGGTGGTGAATCAACAGCGATGTCTTTGATCGCTCAGAGAACCGGGTTCTATGACGATCTATACAAATTTGTTCATAATTCACAAAATTCTATTTGGGGTACTTGTGCTGGATTGATCTTTATATCAGAGATTTTAAGTAATGAAAAAGATTTAGTGAAAACATTACAATTGTTACATGTTAAAGTTAAGAGAAATGCATTTGGAAGACAAGCTCAATCCTTTACACAAGAGTGTGACTTCTCGAGCTTTATCGACGGGTGTGTTGACTTCCCAGCCACTTTTATTAGGGCTCCTGTTATTGAGGAGATCTTAGATAATGACACAGTGGAGATATTATTTCGTTTGAATAAACCCGATAGTCCTCAGGATGGTTTGATTGTTGCCGTGAAACAGAATGATAACGTCTTAGCGACTTCATTCCACCCAGAGCTAGCAGAAGATGATCTAAGATTCCATGATTATTTTATTAGACATTTCATACTGAAGATATAGATGGCATATATAGCTTCTTTAATTGTTAAATGTCGCGCTCGTGGTTGGTTAGCAATTCTTCGTTTCACTATATAGGTTCGTCTTATCTGCAAAGTGTATACTGCTAAAGAAAATAAAAAAAATAAGCATTTTTATTTTGGAATCATAAAAATATGATTCTTCAAGAACAAAAAAATAAACAAAGGAGAATGCTCAATATTTGAAAACACGCAATGGTAGATTTAAAATAACGTTTAGTTTAAGTATCCAAGACTCTAATGATTGATATATAAACAACGAATGTTATTCCTTTTTACTTGAATGTGATACCACTCATGTTTTCTCCCATTTGAGATGCCGGGAGGCCACCAATACCAATGTCTTCCAAAGGTCAGAATTATCAACTACCATTTCGTTATACGTTTCTAGCAGGTTCTTTTGCTGGAGTCTCAGAGACTGTGGTAATGTATCCGTTGGATGTCATCAAGACTAGATTCCAATTGCGACCTGTATCTGTCACCAGTCAATGTGGATTGATATCTTACATCACAAAAGTTCTTCGTAAAGAAGGACTTCGTCACGTTTATAGAGGCATTACTTCACCAATTCTTATGGAAGTCCCCAAACGTGCTACGAAATTCTCGTGTAATGCCAAGTACCTAACTCTTCTGCAACAAGTATTTGGACAATCCACTGTAACACAACCAATCACTATCATGGCAGGTGCAATGGCAGGTTCTACTGAAGCAATTATAATTGTACCTTTCGAACTGGTAAAGATTAGAATGCAAGATGGAGCCTCTCTCTACAGGACACCCTTTGACTGCTTGAAATGCATTATAAGGAAAGACGGTGTCTTGGCAATGTTCACAGGTCTGGAGGCCACAATGTGGAGAAGTTCTGTTTGGAATTCTGGATATTTCGGGTTAATACATTTTGTTAGATCAATTTTACCTAACACAGAAAACAAAGGATTAGAGACGAGTTACAATTTTATAGCAGGTGCTTTAGGTGGTTCATTGAGCTGTTTCTTGAGTGTACCATTTGATGTTGTGAAATCACAAGTTCAGTCGGTCAATGGTTCACATATGATTTCGAGAAAAGGGTTATATGGGTCGGCCATCTATTCAATTATAAATATGTACAAAGTTCAAGGTGTTTCTGCCATGTATAGAGGAATTACACCCATTTTATGTAGGTATGCGCCAGGTGGAGGTATATTATCATTAGTATACAACAAAACCTACGAACTACTTACTGAATATGACCTACAAAGCCAGAAATTATAGATAACTCATTATGTATTATCTTGTTTGAATCAGTAAACTCATAGCATCCTAAATAAACGTCTCTTATGTTAAATATATTTAAAATGTTTACATAATACACGGAATGGATATTTGAAATAGTTATTGGAACGGTTTGGTTCGGCCCGGAAACATAATTAAGCATTGTTATCCGTTTTCGTCGTCTCTCTCCTGATGACCATTACTTAACCAACATGACCTAGTCAATAAACTTCAAAAGTGTATCTAATAAGGCCATAGGCTGACTAATATTCAGGACATAAACCCATTTTTAACAGTTACATGTGGCTGTATACTGTCCCTTGAAAAGCTGGTATATAAATCAGGTCGAAAGCAAGGATTATATTACAAACTATGGTTGTTTACGGTTCGTAAAATTAATTACTAGACCTTAATAGAAAAGAGAATTAAACAATATAGATTTTACAATGACTGAGTGGTGAGTAGTTGTTATGGATAAGTCTGATGCGGAGAGAAAGAAATATGGACCGTTACACGTCGCAGGTATTCTACCAATTATTGAAGCTGGAATCTTGTTGTCAGGTGGCCAAATTAGTGACGAAAGTAACCCCGCCAAGAGCCGTCCATTCTCATCTTCAAATAAGAGCAGACACTAAGCAAGATGTTATTGATACGTTAAGAAAGGACCCGTTTTCTCGAAATGGTGTTTGGAATGTAGATGATGCTATCATATACAGATTGGACACTGTTTACAGGGAAAAGTTAGACCTAACCTGATGAAAACACCAAGATCGGAGATACTTGTGTAAAATAATTTTGTAAAGTGAAGTATTGAACTTTTATAAGTATACAGCTAGTAAAAAATGAATATTCAAAGTGACTGCCATATTTAAGATATTGGTATAACTCGTACTAATAACTTAAAGAAGAAATTATTTGAAATGGAATAAAATAAAATTCTCCGAAACTGTAAGCATTATTCTGAAAGAGTATTTGCGGTACACTCTTGTTTTACTTAACTCCTTAGGGAATCTTTTTTACATAATTGATTTATCAGGGTTATTCATCTAATTTTGTGTGAATATCATCAAAGTTTTACGAGAATTTCATGCTTATTCAGCATGTTAAAATAAATTCACCTAGAGAGTGGGCATCTATCCGTCTCGATATTCATCTACCTCTCAGTTGATCAACGAACAATAAAGTACCAATTGGGCATAGGTTCAAGTTAGTCGTGTCTTGTCTTAAACTCCAGAGTAATTGTTGAAAATTATTTCACCTTTGAAAAATATTTTATTTCGGTCCTGCGGTATCTTTTGTGCCAATACGCGAAATTTCGTTATTTTGAAATAAATTTTGCGATGACTCCACTTGAAATTTGAATCATTTCCAGATCTGATAGACGTATTGATTAGTTATATTGTTCATGGATACGTTCCACTGAATGTTAACAGTGGGTACCGGTCAAGAAGATGTGCATACTCGGATATTCTAACGGAAGATAACTCCAGGTATTCTGGATTTGTTGACGTTTACTCAAGAAGAAGGCGTTTCAGAGTTCTTGAAATGTCAAAATAATTATACATAGGCTGAAAGAAAATATTCAAGACAAGCATATATAACTACAAGGAAATGTTAAATAAAAGTAATAGCACTGTGTTTTTTTTAGTCTTCTTCATGGTGTACAGTTTTTATCGCTATTAAAGTTCGAGAAACAACAAAGTTTGAAGAATAGTATTAATAATAAAAAAATGCAATTTGCAGACTTTATTGCAGCAGTATCGCTGTTATCATACTTACAAACGACTAATGCTTGGTCTCCAACAAATAGTTACACGCCAGGGAAAGTTTCATGTGATAGTGATATTAACCTTATCAGAAAAGCTGATGGTTTGGCCTCTGAAGAAACTGAATGGTTAGCAAAGAGAGAAAGTGTTACAAAGGATGCCTTGAAGAAATTCTTGGATCGTGCTACTGCTACTTTTTCAGATAATTCTATTGTTGATTCTATCTTTGACTCTACTCAACCAAGAGTTGGTTTTGCTTCATGTGGTGGTGGGTATCGTGCAATGTTTGTTGATGCCGGTGTTGTTGCTGCTATGGACGAAAGAACTGTAGGTGCCACTGAAAATGGTTTAGGTGGTTTGTTGCAAGGTATCAGTTATATAGCTGGTTCCTCCGGTGGTTCATTCTTTACTTCAACTGTTACGTACAACAACTGGACCTCAGTTCAAGAGATTATTGATCAAATGAAGGACGGTGACCATTCTATCTGGGATCTTTCTAATTCGCCAACAAACCCAGGTGGGTCAGACACTGACTACACTAATGCTGTCTTTGAAAACATTACTGAATCTATCAAGTTAAAGAACGAAGCTGGGTTTGACGTCTCATTGGCTGATGCATGGGGTTTGGCTTTTGGTTATTACTTCTTCCCATCTTTGCCAAGAGGTGGTTACAGTTACCAATGGTCTGATATTCAAGATGCTGATGTCTTCAAGAATGGTGAAATGCCAATGTTGATCGAACTTGCCAAGGTTGAAAAATCGGGTGAAACTTCTGTCGATTTGAGCTCTACCACTATTGAAATGTCAGCTTTCGAATTCGGTTCCTGGGAACCTACCATTAACTCTTTCTCCAGTATGAAGTACCTTGGTACTGAGGTTAACAATGGTTCTCCCGTAACTCCAGGTGAGTGTATTGCTGGTTTTGACAATGTAAACTTCCTGACTTCTGCCTCTACTAATGTTATCAACACCCTTTCCAACCAAGGTGGTTTCTTCTCACAAATGATCCAAACTTACGAAACTAAATTCTTACCAAATGTCACCACCCAAGGTCACATTGATGTTAACATTGCTGCTCCAAATCCATTCAAGGGTACTACCAACTACGAAAGTGACAGCTCTATTGTTGACAATGATCAATTATATCTAGTTGATGGTGGTATCGATGGTCAAGTTATCCCTTTCACACCATTGATGAGAAAAGAACGTGATCTTGATTTGGTCATTGCTACTGACACTACTGCTGATACTGATGAAGTTTGGCCATTTGGTTCCGCTTTGGTCGCTACATACGAACGTCAATTCATGGAAATTGGTAAGACAGACGCTTTCCCATATGTCCCAGATACGGATACTATTATCAACTTAGGTATTAACAAGAACCCAACTTTCTTTGGTTGTGATTCTTCCAACTTGACTGATTTAGCTTATGTCCCACCTTTAGTTGTTTACTTACCTAACAGAGCTTACTCCTATGACACTAATGTCAGTACTTCCGTCTTGACTTACACTAGAGAACAACGTTTAGGCATGATCCAAAATGGTTTTGAAATTGCTACCAGAAATAATTTCACTGATGATCCAGATTTCTTAGGTTGTATGGGTTGCGCTGTTATGAGACGTAAGCAAGAAAAGCTTGGACTAGAATGGCCAACCGAGTGTGCGCAATGTTTCGAGAGATACTGTTGGAATGGTACTGTTTCTAACAGTGACACTGTTGCTGTTCCAAGTTCTTCAGTTTCTATCAATGGTACTTCATCAATTGCTAGCGTATCCTATGCTACAGGATCTGCATCCGATGATAACTTCAGCACAATTCATACCGAAACTTCTACTACTGTGACATGTCATGAGTGCGAGGAGGCTAAAGCTACTACCTCTGCTGTCTATGGAGAAACTAACGTCACAACTACCGTTGAATGTGAAGAATGTGAAGAAGCTCAATCTCAAGCTACCGTTACTGTTGAATGTGAAGAATGCGAGGACGCGCAGGGAAATAGTCATCACACTACCACAACATTGACATCGATGACCACAACAACTCAAGTTTGTGAAGAGTGTGAAGAAGCTCAAGAGACTGCTACTGCTATAACCACAAACGAAAATTATAATGGTCCTTCCAACGGTTCTTCCAACGGTTCTTCCAACGGTTCTTCCAACGGTTCTTCCAACGGTTCTTCCAACGGTTCCGGTAACAGTGTCAAGAGCACTTCGTCTACCCCATCTATCCTTCAGGTCACAACAGGTATTCCATCCACATCTGCTTATGATGTTATGGTCAACGAAAACAGTGCAAACAACTTGATTTTCAAGGGTGTTGTATCATTATTAGCTATTTTCGGTGCTATCATTGAACTATTTTAATGGTAATCACGTTAGGTCATTTTAAACAAAATATTCTTTTATACCCGGTTATGAAATATATCACTCAATAACTATTTAAATAGAAAGCATACTAGTTGATAATCATTATTTCAATATGAACTCAAAATTCTATAGTATTTCTAGAACTTCGTTGGTTGCACAAGTTACCCTCAATCAAAATAAAACCGTTGTGCTTAAAGGGTAATCATTGTGTGAGATTGTTTAGAGAATGGGGTCTGTTATTCATGTTTTCTATATCTTAAAATCTATATTACAGAAACATTTTTAAATTGAATATAGTTTATTAATATAGACTAGTGTAAACGCATGGTTAAAAGTTACACTTCTACTAATCTCGAGAGACCTGTTCTTACTTTTTACAATATTAAAATCACAAGTTATAAAATGTTTCCATTTAACCGACAACAAGAACTAAATGAAATTACATAAATTCAAAATATATACAAAATAAATTGTGATTCTTGTTTAGTTTGTCGCACTAAAGAAAGAACACGATTGCCATCAATCCAATGAAATAGCTTAGAATATTATCAGATTGAGAGGACCCAGAACCGGTATATTCAGAAATATCACTCGAACTAGAGGCAGCTTCTTGGATTTCGGCCTGTACTTTTGTATATTCTTCGACAATCTGCGGCGTAGACGATTTTTATGGAATATCTACATAATAATATGTTTCAATGGCTTCTTCTTCGTTTCCATTAACATCGGTTGTGTTATACGTTCTTACGCCAGCGGAGCATGTTGAAGTAACCGAACCAGTGTAATAATTGAAAATGGTCGACGAGCTAAACGCTACTTCTTCTTTTTTTTCTTCAGCTATAGTTTCAAGTTCTAGATCTTCGGTATCAATAACAGACTCAGCGGGGTTAGGTGATTCGACAATTATATCAGTCTCTATCACTTCTTCCTTATTACCGATAGAATATGTGGTAAAGTATGTCGTAATATGAGTTAAGATACTCGTCACTGAACCAGAATAGTTAATATACTCAGTAGTAGCAGTTAACAAAGTTTCAGAGACATTATGAATTTCGACGACATAATCAGTTTCAATTACTTCTTCTTCATTACCTTCGGAGTCTGTAGTATAGTAGATTGTAACAACAGTAGCAATTGTGGTAGTTTGAGTGATATCACCTTCCGTTAAAATGGTGGACATAGTAGTAATGGTATCTTCTACACTTGATAACTCCAAGTCAACGTCGGTCTCCACAACCTCCTCTTCTTCGCCATCCTCATCAGTTGAAATATTGGTTGTCACTTGTGTAACAATAGTTGGGGTAAATATACTTAGGTATTGGGTTGTACTTTGAAATATGCCAATATTGATTCCGATAGTGGGGACCATAATTTCTTGGATTTCAGTCTGTAGAATCTCCTCCTCATCTCCATCATCATCTGTAGTTGTTGTGAATGTAGTAACATTCGTTTCGGTAGTTGGTTTAACATTAGTACTGTATAATGTAGTGGTAAGGGCTGTTGTGAGTGTTGTTTCTGGTCCTGGCTTTTCAACATAATAAGTAGTCTCAGTGGTGATAATACCGTCTGTACCAGTACAAACACCAGTACCAGTAGAGTATGTGGCGATTATGGAACCAGTTCCTTCTGTATAGATAGTGGTAGAAGTCGCAGTGTGAGACCGGCTGTCAGGAGTTTGAACCACATAAATTGTTTCAGTAGTAACAATATCATCATTGCCAGTAAAGGTTGAGACCAGTGTTGTATAAGTTACCGTTTCAGTTGCTGTACCTGGTTCAAAAGAAGTTGTTTGTGTAATAATTTCATGAGCACATTCAGTTTCTAAATCAGTAAAGAATGTTACATAGTCATCAAAGGTTTCATGTGTGACACCAGCTGGTCTTTCCAAGTCATGTGTAATTTACCAATGCCACCTTGATTATAGTAGACAATTCTCATTGGGTACGCAACACCTTCCTCTAGAGTGTGTGTGACGGTAGATGGTGCACCAGTAGCCCATTGATCAATCGCGTCGATTGAAACGTCACTTTGATCTATGGTTATATCTGCATCTGCATTACAACATCTGAATGCAGATGGATTGGCGAAAAATAATAAAGCAGAGTCATCAGTATTGTCAAAGGAAAACGTATAACTTCCTGTTTTTTGAGGAACAAAATAACCTACATATTCAACAGTAAAGTTAGTCAAAGTAACGTTATAACCATGAAATAAGCCCCATTGTGGACCATTATATGCATTTGGACCAGTGTAAACGTAGTTAACGTCATGGATACCATAAATTGTAGTTAATGGTTGATTTAAAGTTGAATATAGATTCAGTAAATAATCATGGTTGTCGTATTCATATGTATATTGAGGGTGCAAGTATGGATAAATTCTTGCACGAAAACCATCAATATACGTGGAACCTTCAGGCACTCTACAGGAATGGGTGGAATCTGGGTTCAAGTCAACACCACCACCACCTAGCGCTAGTATGAAAAAAGAAAGAAGATATATAACAGCTTTCAAGTCAAATAGCATTCTTGTTTGCGCTTTCGAGTGATATAGATACAATAAACTAAGAAAAGAAAAATGTTAGAATACTCGAAACTAACCATTATTGTAACTAGTGAGTGAAAATATCGCCTAGAGCTCTCGAATTTAATAGAGGTACTGATATATATATATATATTGAAGTGGAGAAAAATTTTTCTTGTTCTAAAAAAATCATTATTAATCAATAAGGAGAATTGTATTACACTATATCAGTTGGACTGAAACGTAGGTGCTTCGTATCCTTGTATATTGGGTACTGCGAATTTACAAATGGAAGATAATAAATTATTTTATTCAAAAGTTGAAAATATCCTAAAAGGGTATAGCTGTTAAGTTGACATGATAAATAGAAGCAGCCGAAACGGGTAAATAGTTGCCGAAACATTGCAGATTGTTGTAAGTTGAACTTCAAAACTCTGGTCCTTCTTAGTAAGTAAAGAGCGGATTAGGAATATAGATAATGAGAGAGAAACGGTGGTACATTCCGGTAGGGAATGGACATAAGAAACTCTTCTAAAATTACTGAAGAAAAGTGTAAGAAAAGTCGAAAGAAATAAGCATGTTTCATGTTGATAATTCTTCGAAAATCATCAGACCAGCGCCCAAATTATATGTCAAAAATATTTTCAAAAAGACTCAAAATAAAAAGCTGGTATTATTGGGACCATAACAACAAAGGTGACAAAGGTTGCAGATTCATGGATGTACTTATACCATTCGGTGTAATATTGCAGCATTAATGAAGTGGAATAAGTTGCATATGTAGAATTTTTTGAAAAGAATCAGTACAACAATATCTACTGTGATAGCACTAGTAGCTGTTGTTTTAAGCAGTCCCTGGTATGACAGCTGTCGATTAAATGCGTAACAAACTTGATAGGTAGTAAAAAGAAACCGCCTAGCAATTTTACTGAGAAGTTGGATACAAGCTCCATTGTAATTTTACAGATGAAAATGAATAGCAAAAATTCCTCGAGAACTGCTAAAGTCAAAAGACTTCAAACTCTAACTTGCTTGTAACAAAATGAGATCTTATTGCATAAAGCTGTCTTGGTTCGATCACATTATCTCCTGTCGTTTCTGGGGATTAGTTAATATCTATCATAAAAACATTTGACTGCAGGAAATGTTCCGTGGATATTTTCTGTGGTCCCTCTCGGATAAGAGTTCTCCGGACACAAGATAAATCATCGAAATTTATGAAATTAATTAGCAAATTACTATTCATCTATAAGTCAGGCACTACAGCCTCCATAGCAATAGTCATTGTGATGATGTCTTTAATCTAGGATTAAGAATATAGCACGTTTGGTTAAGTTGTACACATTCAATTCAACGGTACCTTATATGTTTCTTATGCATGACAGGAATATATATATATATTTATCCGACTGTTATGATACAGAGGTAAACATGTTATCTTCACAATGCTGTGTTAAAGGCTACAAACAATGTCAGCATACCTAAAAGAATGTATAGCTGTTGGTTTATTCCTTTGTAGACAGTTGGTACATGGTATTCACGTTTACCTGCAGCATACATTGTGGTAGTCATATTACCGCTCGGTAATACTAGGGCCAATGAGCTAGAAAATATTGATGAACTCTTTGTCGTCGTAGATCTCGATGTATCGTAGAATGATCTCATTGGGCGTGTAATGATACCATTAGAGAAGACTGAGGCAGAATATTGACCCGGGATGTTTGACATGAATCTTGAAACACTAGATGGATATAAAGCCAAACTTGTAGAGTTATAAATCTTGTGATAAGCATATGGTATGTAACCAGATTTTATTGCGGCCAATGTTGGTATTGAGGAGGAGGAGCTTCCTACCTGTTGTTGACCAGCCTGTGCTTTTGCCTTGATTCTCAATTTGCTGGAGAATGCCTGAGCTAACCCGACGGTATTACCATCCAAATCTACGGCCATGTATGCACTTCTCAAGAATGATTGACCAAGGATGTTAAACCCAATGTAACTATTAGCATATAGTTTTAAGAAACATGCTGGTTGTTTATCTGGGTAATGCATTGAAGAGTTTGTCAGTAAATCACTTAATGGTACTTGAATTTGCAAATTATCAAATGTGAATTCAATATTTGCCCCATACGATTGTAAATAACATGGTACCAACCATCTATCAAGAGATTCCACATAAGTAGCACCAATCTGAATAGCTATCTGGATGATCGTGCTTACAGGTAAGTAATTTCCTATAAAACTTGAGTCTATCAATACGGGCTCGAAATGTTGTTCGGACGTCATATTTAACCGTTCGCCGTTCTTAGAGACCATATATATTGGGCCCATAGGAACTATAGGGTAGCCAGTGCTAGCAACACCTGTCGTCGGGTCCATAAAGGGGATCATATTGAATTGATACATTTGTCCTGTGTATAGAGATGGATCTATCGCCCCGAATAAAAGCCTTCCAAATCCATCGGTTAATGAGTTCGAGGAAGATGGCGACGAAGACGACGATGACGATGAGGAGGAGGAGGAAGTGCCATCGTTGTCATCTTCTTCTGTAATACGACCACTATTCAACCATAACGAATAGCTTGATGATTCGATTATATTTGCTTCTAACATGTCACTAATGAAATAGAAAGATGAGTCAAAATTACTTTGATCAATAGGGGAATTAGGGAACGTAATGTAACCACCAAGACCCAGTACACCTGATTGTAAATTTTTTGTTCGGTTGACATTAATGAAGGACAGGTTTGATAAGGCTAATTCATCACTTGTATAAGTGATGTTTCCTGTTGAATTAAATAAGGTCTTTTTGTAAGTTGTCATTAAATCTTTTTTAGATGAGTCTGTACTACTGCTACTACTTATAACTGAGACATTTGGGAAAACAACTGCATCGTTGACAGCAGTACCTTTGATTGCAATCCCATCTATGAATTCTAATGTATAAGAACGGTACAAGTCATAATTTGTAGCGGTGGACGATCTTTCTTGTAAATAAAAGGAATCTGAATTACATAGTGAATGATTATGACACTGGGTATCGTTTGAGCCTGAGAGTACCCAACTGTAGGGACTTGCTGTGTTTAATACCAATTGTTGGATTTGTCCGGGAGTACCTATCGAAACGTTAACGTAATAATCGTTATAATCGTTAATACCAACTAATATGGATGGGAATTCTTTGATTCCATAGTTTTTACCTTGGAGAACTTTCCCATTATGAAAAGAAAATGCATTTGTAAGTGATAAAACTGAGAAGCAACACCATAATGATAATGTTAGCGAGTGAACAGGCATTATATTCTTTTTATATGAAGGAGGTGTGTGAGATTTATCTCTATTGATAAATAGGAACTAAAAATAGAATCTTTTTGAAAAAATTGGCTTGTTGTAGGTCCGGAAAGTTAGAAACAGCTAGTAAAAACGGGCATTAGATAGAAGTAGTCTCTAACTGATATATATATACGTGTATAGGAGTACCCTGATTTTATATCTAGATGTACTCATAACCTTAACAATACATCAACTGCAACTACTTTCTGCCATATATAGTAGTTGCCCCATATTTCTGACTGTAGATCACTGAGCTTCCCACGCCAAAAAATTGAAATTTTGAAAAATTTCTCATCGCGTAACGTAATTTGTGGTGCCACTCTCGTCTCTCCTCACTGCGGGATGAGATGAGATGAAAGATTCCTGGTACTTGTCACATTCCATTATTCAATAGTTATAACGTGAAGTTGATGGATCTATGTATTTGTTGACTACGTAGTTCATATTTGGTAACAAGTCCTAGCCCGAGTCCCATATAAGTATTACAATATACTGTCTGCCAAGATTGAGACCAGCAAGATTTGGCCGTATTGATAACTTATAAACAAAGTTGTAATCCCTCATGTATGTCTCATTATAAGAGTATATATATGGTGCCACAATTAAATAAACCAATACTATGAACATAACCTAAAGATGTTCCCCGCTAATATCCTCACTCAAAGCTACAACTAGGCGTAACTAATCAAACACCTCTCCCAACCTAGTAATCTTGCAACATGTGTACATTATTATTATCATCATCATCATCATCATCATCATCATCATCATCGTATAACGATGGAACTAACTCTTCAGTAAAACGTGGTTGACCTGGTGGTTGGCTGCTACCTCCCCTAAACTGCCCCAGCACAAATCAAAACGGCCATCGCTTCGCCCATAAAATTTCCATCACCAAAAACAAAATGATTAGTGAAGAAAACCCAATGAATTCACTTTGAACCTTCCCCTTCAAGAGTAGTAATACATGTATATTTATACTGGATTTACCACATTTCCTAACCTCACTTTGACAGGATAAGAAAAGCTCGTTACCGACCATCGTGATGCCTGACTTCGACTCTCTAAGAAGATTCTACCGTGTACATAATGCCTGCATTCAATTACGCAATGCAATGAGCGTCATCTATGCTGACGGTCTCTCTAACAAGGATCTGGGCCATTTCCAGGATGCTCCTACTTCTGACGATATGGTACAAGGGATACTTGCCTCTCCTGCTACTTCGATCGCTACTTACTTAAAAAATGCTCAAGCTACCATGGATATTGCTAAAATTATCGAATATTATAGTTTTGACCCCGATCAAACCGACCTTGAAGAATATACTTTTGGCAAACCTATCCTGTTGAGTCAAGAGGCTGACTTCAATGCTGGACATGACGACACTAAATTGAGTTCATTGGGGAAGAACTGGTTAGTGTCCGTGACTTCGTTGGTCCTATACGAACGGTTCCCATTCGCAGATGCTGTTTCGCTGGATTTATTACGCAACAGAATCCTAGAGAGTGATTGTTTTGAGAATTTCATGTCTAATGGGAATGGCCCAGACCGGAAATTTCCTTCCTTTGATGCATACATTGGTGCATTGATTGTCGATAGAGCCTCGGGATTCCATTTGGAAGAAGTCAAGACGTATATACAATCACTGATTCAAGAGAAAGCAAAACTATATAGTCTGGAGATGATTAATGGTTTGTATCGTAAGAATCCGAAATTCCAAGTCATGAAATTATTAGAAGGAAATAAATTAAAGGTTAATCCAACTTTTAATTGTATTAGTGCAACTGGTAAAAATAAAAAAACTACCATCGAAATTAAATTGAAAAATATCTTGTTAGGAACAGGTTCTGGGCTATTAATAAGTGATGCTGAACAAAATGCCTCTAGGGATGCATTAGCTAGAAAGATCTTAGATCAATATTCAATTCACAAGAATATTCCTGTTACTAAACCGGTATCTAGTGAATCGCGACAGATGAAACCGGCTCTATCTACAACTGCCACTGATAATAACGATGGTCTACCCCCATTACCATTGAAGATGCCAGAGTTACCTCCTCCTGTAAAGAAAGGTAAGGAAATTAAACCACTAAAGCAAGTACAAGAAATATCTGAAATTATTCAGCAACGTAGAAACTCGATTAAACCACCTGTCTCTGAAGTTGTTCAACAAAATAGGAACTCTATTAAACCTCCTGTGTCAAAAAGTAGTAATGTCATCAGACCTCAAACTCCACAAAAAAAGTGTACACCTGGTTCGTTAGATCCATCTAAGAACCCACAAACTGGTAGAGGCTCTAATAACGGTAGTGCGAACAGTAGTAGATGGAGTAGCAGGCAATCCTCTGTTTCAGGTGACAGTCAAAAAAACAGAAGAAAGATGGGTATTAAGGGTCTTCGTGAAAAGGATAAGTATACTCTGAAATTGGAAGAACGTGCCAAGGAAATGTTGCTAGATAATGCACCAAGGGTAAATACTGATTTATCAGTAGATGGACCCCCATCCTTTGATGACGATAGTGATGAAGAGAGAGAAACTGTGCGTAGAAATAGTATCATCAATATTAGACGTTCCAGTGTTCTAAGTGTTCAAAAGTATCCTGCACGTAGACCTTCGATGCCTCATCCTTGGGAGAATGATTCAATATCCTTAGCAAGACCTTTAAGTGCAAGGTTTGAAGTTGGTACTTCAACTAGGCCTGCAGAATTAATCTTGGAAGGAAGAAAAGTAGAGAAACCTGTTGCTGAAGTTTCAAAACCTGCTTCCACTGTCGGTACTGAAGTACTTATTACTCCAGCAGCAACTCCTGTTAATAAAGCAACTACAACAATTACTTCTGATACTATTGACAAAGATGCTAAGAATAAATTGAATATATTATACTCTAAGCAAGGTAATGATGTCCCTACTTACTTCACAAGATTTTTGGGGCCTGGTAAGTTTCACACAATTTGTAGACTGAAGAACAATCCTGATATTATACTTGCTGAAGCAGATGGTAAATCAAAGGAAGTTTCCCAGCTAATGGCAGCTTCTATTGCTGTTGCTTCCTTATAAAACTAATTATGGTAACTAATTAGGACATGTGATTTGAAAATATCCATTTATCCAGAGATACTCTAATCTATTGGGAATACTCATTTATCTAGAGTACTACATAGCTATATATACATATATATATATCATTGCATTGGATACATTAAGTAGTTATGACTACTTGCTTACATAATTTTCCATTTATAAAGACATACCTCTATTGCATTAACATTTCTTCCAGATATCGTGGAGCGCTAGCGTCGATGTGAACATGCCAAAGATACCTACAATGGAACTGTATGGTTTCATATATTGAAGGTATGTGGAAACAATATATGAATCCATCACATCCCATATTATTTTTCTTATGGCATTATTCCGTTTTTCAATTGTTTGTCTCCTATGATAGCTCTTGTTTTCGTTCTTCACATTTGGTCTTACTTCATCTTCAATGTTCTTTATGCTTTCCAAATTTATTCTAATATCAACACTTAACGCAGACAACCAAAACAGGTTCGCAAATTTAGGAGCCTGTTGTAATGTGAAAGAGTTTGTAGGTATTATATTTATCATACGTAGCAATACTATCTGATCTAAACCCAAGTACAACGTAAAAAAAATGTTTTTCAATATTATTAATGAATTTCCGGTTGTCTTATAATTGTGATAAGCAATATTTACATGATGTAAAGGTTTAAAACATCTCAGAACTTTCCTTATAATCAATATTTGTAATTTAAGTTGTGGTAATAACTCTGTCTGGGGGAGCCATGCAATGAGAAGAACAATTAGGAATTGAGTCCAACGTAGTAGTTTCTCTCTGACATCAGTAACATCTGTAAATCTAACATATTTGTCTATTGGTCCAGCCATTGTTTATGTCCTTGGGTACCTACTAAAGGAGCTGTAAACGTGTGTTGTTTTTATTTATTTTTTATATAACGAGATCTGTTGATTCTTGCAATAGAATATTGTTGAAGTAGCGGAACTTCACAGTCAATCTATGGATTAAGAACTCAGTAAAGTGGTATTCTAATATTGTTTCCACGTACCCTCCAGAAATGTAGTCTATAATCAAATATTGGGTTTTTTTGGTGAGATGATTAAGTATTTCAGATTTTTTATGTTTCTTTTAAAATATAGAACTTTAGACTTAAAACAGAAATGTAAATTAAGTACTACTTTAGTAAACAAAAATATAAAGTGATATCACCGTTCATTAGAAAAAACCAAAATTTGTAGAAGATTGAAACTGAACATAGTCTTTGTAGTGATCCAAGAAGCTAAATATGTTTCTGAATCTGTTTCTGTTATTTATCGGTTTATCTCTGGTGATATGTTAATATTCAAATTTGCTTTTATTATAGCCGAACTAATAAGGTAAATTGCGTTGTTAATCGGCCCTTTGCAACCCGATGTGGAACGAAATAGAATCTTAAACACATATATTTTATACATTTCATCCTTTCTGATATTTTGTAATTTATTAAATTGCGTATTCAGCGAAAGTTCATTCAGGCCAGGAAGAAGCCACAGAAATATACTATCTTAAAACCCATCTAGTACCACTCTATTCTATACCAACTTATCAACACAAAGTAGATTAACATAACCTAAAACTGCGTTGTTTGAAACTGATGTCTAATTATCATCTATGTTACTGTCCATTGAAGTATGAACATTACCAAAATCCCAGACACTGCCATTCCATTCTGTACAAAACGTAGGTACAAACCAATATTCTACCAAACCACAACAAAAGAATAACAAACCAATCACAATAGTTATAAATAACAATCCATCGGAAGCTCCTTTAAGTGGCAGTGTCATCCTCATTTATGGCACCATCATAGGACTGGCTATTCCAGTATTCACGTGACCGTCACTCCAAAAAATTTGATTTCTTCACAAAGAACTGAAAAAATTAAAATTTCCGGCAAAGAAACAAATTCATTTTAAAAGCATCCCATCGATTCTTATTTAACTAGAGAACGTTTAGCTGGGTCTGATTGTAAACAGTGGAAGTACTCAGATCAGCATACTCATATATTTTACACAATTCAATGTCTACACTTGTGATTCCAGGTGATGAAATAAGCATAGATTCCGAGAGACCCGTGGTACTGGGTCCCGGTATGTACAATGATCCTGTTACTCAAAGGATTGTACCCGTGAATGCCGGTCTTCTAAACATATCTGACTCCAAGAAAGGCCAAACCATCTACGTTGAATACGACTCCAAGAGATATAGTCCTGCTGTTGGTGACCTTGTGGTAGGTATTATTACAGGTGCGTTTGGTGACAGTTACAGGGTATCTTTGTCAAGTTTTTCAACACCAGTCTCATTATCATATATGGCATTTCCAAATGCCTCCAAAAAGAATAGACCCACTCTGGTAATAGGAGACCTTGTGTATGCTCGTGTATGCAACGCAGAAAAGGAACTGGAGGCCGAAATTGAATGTGTAGACTCTACTAATGGGTCCGATGCAGGATTTGGTTTATTAGAAAACGGTATGGTGATAGAGGCAACACTTGGATTTACACGTTCTTTACTTTTCAATAATGAATTCCCATTACTGAGGGAGTTGGCCCAACATTGTAAATTTGAGATTGCCATTGGTGTCAACGGGAAAATATGGATCAAGACGGATGAAGTCAAGGAGACCATTGCTTGTTATAGATCTATCTCCGATTGTCAAGGTCAACCTCAGGAGAAATTCCAAGAGATTATCAAGAACTATTTCTTACAGGTAACGAATACCGTCGAGGAATAAGAAGATTATGGAACCACCCATAACCATATACCAAACTAGCATCAACTATCAATATCATACTCTACTACATATATTTATATATAAATAATTCATCATTTCTGTAACATATCCCAATATAATTAGAACATGATAAACCGTTTAAAGCGAAATTTTTCATTTTCATTTTCATTTTTCAAGCAGTGAAAAATCAATCGATGAGGTTCTCAAACAGAACTTAAAAGACATGCAAAGAAGAGTTCGTGAACCGATATTATCGATACGTAATGGACCCATTAGTGAACCCTACACTTTCATCGTTAAAGGGACAACAAACTAAAAAAGAACGTAAATTAAAGTATGCAGATTTAGCGGTTCAAGGTACAAATAACTCATCAATCGCCTCTAAAAGATCAGTCGAGGCAATATATCTATCGAAATTGGGAGTCAATCAAAGTATAAATGAGGATGGGGAGAGCAGTGAATATTTTAAATATTTTGTGCCAAAACTAGTCAATAGGTCTCCTTGTATCAATAGAGGTTATTGGTTAAGGTTACATGCTATACGATCCAGATTGGAGTCTATTCGCAAAGCCACCGAAAAACAGATCTTAGTCATTAATCTAGGTTGTGGATTTGATCCATTGGCCTTTGAATTATTGGATAAACTTAATAAGGATAGTCGTCCATTCACTGAAAAATTTTCATTTTTAGATATCGATTATTCTGACCTGTTGAAAAATAAAGTACAGATTATTAAACAGACTTCAACGTTATCTCAGATCGTGAACTTACCAACAGATTTGATAGATGGTGCTGATACTATAACTTGCGAGAGATATTATACAAGACCATGTGACTTAAACTGTACCGGTGACTATGAGAAACTACTGCTCCATTCCCAAGATCTACCTCAATTGAATGATCCAAACGTTGTAAAAGTATTTATTGCAGAAGTCTCTCTTGCATACATGAAAGCAGATTTATCAGATGAAATTATTAGTATTTCGTCCCATTTACCTAACGCCCATTTTGTTATGTTAGAACAATTAATCGAACAAGGTCCCTATGAACCATTCTCCAAACAAATGTTGAAACATTTCAAGAAAAACGATTCACCATTACAATCCGTGACAACATATAATACAATCGATTCGCAAAGGTTAAGATTTGAAAAATATGGTTTCAAAAATGTCAATGTCGGGAACATGTTACACTTATGGAATGCCATTTCGAAGGAAACTAGAGAAACCATTGAGAAAATCCAACCATTTGATGAATTAGAAGAGTTTCATTTATTTTGCCATCACTATATGTTATGCCATGCTACAAATGACACCGATTTTATATTTACCCCTGGGTACAAGTTTAAAATAACACAGACAGAATCTATAGATGAAGATAAAGAGTTATCTGCCACATTTGAACCGCTCGGTTTAGATCTAAAGAGATCATTTGGTTCTGGATATGTGAATATGGATGGTAATATGACATACCATGGTGGATGTAACCCTAATAGAGTCAATGAAACGTTGCTGTTGACTGAACAATTTACGAAATTTAATGTTCTCGACAAATCGGGTCCAATACCGCCAGTGAGAACATGTCATACATTCTGCCAGATAGGAACTGGCACGTCTGTAATAATTGGTGGTCGTAATGCACCTCATAGACCATATAAAGATACATGGCTATATGACTCTGAACATAACAAATGGTCACAGGGAAATGATCTTCCGGAGACAAGATTCAGACATTGTACTGTATCGATCGGCCAAGGGAAATTACTAGTATTTGGAGGTGTCACTACAGGTCAACCTTTCATGATTTATGATAGTAAAAAAGACACATATGATACTGTATCAGTTGCAGAAGATAGTGATTTCTCTCCATCAAATTTGGTTTCTGCATGTATGTCTTACAATGAGAATATTGACGTAGGATACCTTATAGGTGGTCTTGATATAGACACTAATATTGTTTCTGATACATTATACACGTTTAGCCTCGAAGAGAACAAGATTACATTACAAAAAGTCGTCTCACATCCTTTGCTGTCAAGATACGGAGCTAAATGCTCATATATTTCGTCAAATAAGATCGTTGTGGTCGGAGGAACTTCCCCCGATATTCTATTCAGCAACAAAACAAATATTTTAATAGTTGAACTTGAAACACACAACATAAGTTCGCTGGTGATACCGTCAAATATATGGGAAGAGAATCACAAGCTTTGCCTGGTCGGGTTCGAATTGCAGCAGCTCCCGGACATGCAATTCATAATTGTGGGAGGTGGAGCAACCTGTTATGGATTCGGAGCAATCTCCAACGAGTCCCTGCTGCTTACCTTACAGCCATCAATTTTATAATAATAATATAATAATATAATAATATACATATATATATTCAAACGTGTATATCGGTAGTATTTTATCTTCTGTTCCATAATAAACGTATTTGGCGATGCCCGTCGCAATTTTTTTTCAGAGGGAGAAACAGAAAACAGCGAGAATAATTAAATTGATTAGAAAGGTTTTTTACGTGACAGGCCACTTTAGATTCAGTAGAAAAGGGGAAACTTGTGGTAAGATAAAAGGACATTTGGTGTGATTTGATAAGTGACCATCAGATTATCAAGGAACAATAATGGTTAATTTGAAGTTAGGCCAGGTGGACGTGTTCCACAGAAATAAAGAATCAAACACGACCCAATATCCAGCTGAAGAAGAGGATGTCGATGCTTCAGAGTTTGAAGAATACGAGCCACTACCAAAGAAAGTGAGCAATAGAAGACCTCGTGAAGATAAATTTACGCAACAGAGACTGGCTGCAATAAATCCTGTGTTGACGCCGAGGACCGTGTTACCGGTTTATGTGCTAGTAGCGGCCGTGTTTGTAATTGTTGGTGGGTGTCTCCTTGCAGAATCTGCTAAAGTCGATCAAATCAAGATATATTACCAGGATTGTATGACGCAGGCTGGCACGGATTCATTTACGGATATGAACTCATCGCATTATGAATATTATTTCCATAAGAATAAGACATTTAAAGTGGCCCCACAATGGAGATTTGTTGATGATACTAGTGATGATTTCAAAGAACGTGGGACATGTCAGCTAAGATTTACTATTCCATCAGATATGAAACATACAGTTTACGTCAACTACATGTTAGAGAAGTTTGCTGCTAATCATAGACGGTACGTTTTATCCTTTAGTGAAGAACAATTAAATGGTGATGCAGCATCATACGATGTTGTCCACGAGAGATCAGGTATTAATTGTAAACCTTTAGCACGTAATTCCGAAGGGAAACTATATTATCCATGTGGGTTAATTGCGAATGCAATGTTTAATGATACTTTCCCATTTGAATTGGTCAATGTGGATGACTCTTCAAAGAATTATGCATTGACTAACAAGGGGATTAATTGGAAATCCGATGGTATAAGATTCAAGAACACTAAATACAATTATACAGATATTGCACCTCCTCCATATTGGGAAAAGAGCTACCCTGATGGCTATAATGAGACTAATGTTCCAAATGTACACGAATGGGAAGAATTCCAAAATTGGATGAGACCTGGTGCTTTTGATAAATCTACCAAATTGATCCGTCGTAATCAGAATGATACTTTACCCGCAGGTACATATCAAATCGATATAGGTTTACACTGGCCTGTTAATGAATATAATGGTAAGAAAGCTGTGTTCATAACGCATGGTTCCACAATAGGTGGGAAAAACGAGTTTTTAGGTGAAATATATTTGATCGGTGGATGTATTTGTTTTGCTATGGCGCTTGTGTTATTAAGTACATGGTTGATGACAGGGAGAAAGATTGCTGATCCTAATGCTTTGTCATGGAACAAACGTACTTGAAAATGAACACGAATGGTTTGAAAAAAACTTACATACACTTATACATATATTAACTACTTCTACTATTATTATTATTTAAACATTACGTAAAACTTTTATTGTAAATTATAAATTAAGTTCAATCTCATCGTAGACACTATAACTAAAAACTCGTACCTTTTTAAAATTTGATATTAACTATCCTATAATATAATATTTAATGTCATTTGTTCCTTTAGTCACATCATGTTTACCTGATCATTGAATATCTGATATTTTCTCACTTACAACGAGCGTGCGGCACCCAAAATGAGCGTTTTTACAAATTTTCGCTTTTTTTTGGGTGCCTCACCCAGTTGCTCGCTAAGTGACTCACTTAACGGTCACACTTGAGTTAAAAGGACAAAAACGCAAATTTTGCGTGAAGCCAAAAAATAAAATTTGAAAATTTTTTTGTCCTTAAATTTGCGCGTACGATATTGCGTTTTACAAATTTGTATTCCGACGCTGTTTCTTTCTTTTAGCGATATATAAAGCGTTTGAGATGTGTCGCTGTTAAGTGCAAGTGTCTGCGATCTCTTTCCCATTCCCAATTGCATTTTAATTTTTTATATCTGAAATAAAATTACTACCATTAAATAATCTAGGGATTAAATAAGGTATTACGACTCATCGGACAAGACTAACCGTACTTACGACATAACATGCTACGTAACAACATATTAAAGAGATGTTTCTCAAGCTCTATGACCAAGAGAGTTGGTCAAGAGATCTTTGAAGATGTGAAATTCCAAGTTACTACTTACAACAGACCTCAAGATCTATGTGTCACTAGAGGCCATAACGATATGCTTTATGATGACGTCAATGGTAAACAATTCATTGATTTCACTGCTGGTATTGCTGTCACTGCATTGGGTCACTCTAATGAAAAGATTGCTGATATATTGAGCAAACAAGCTAGAAAACTAGTTCATTCATCTAATTTATATTATTCTGCCGAATGTTTAGAATTAAGTGAAAAGATTGTCGATAAGACAAAACAATTTCAAGGTCAATTCGATGCATCTAAAGTGTTTTTATGTAACTCTGGTACTGAAGCCAATGAAGCTGCTTTGAAATTTGCTAAGAAACATGGTATTAAGAAACATGGTGCCAAGAAACAAGGTCTTGTTGCTTTCCAAAACTCTTTCCATGGTAGAACTATGGGTGCATTATCTGTTACATGGAATGCTAAATATAGAACTCCATTTGGTGATTTGGTTCCAAATGTGACTTTCTTAAACATCAACGATGAATTGACTAAATTACAAAGTTTCTTACATTCGAACAAGGACCAAATTGCTGGTTTAATTATCGAACCTGTTCAAGGTGAAGGTGGTATTTTCCCAGTTCCAAGCGAAAAATTGATTGGTATTAACCAAGTTTGTAAAGCCAACGATATCGTTGTTATTTATGATGAAATTCAATGTGGTCTAGGTCGTTCTGGTAAACTATGGGCTCATTCTCATTTACCAAAGGAGGCTCACCCAGACATTTTCACTGCAGCAAAGGCTCTAGGTAATGGTTTCCCAATTGCCGCTACTATTGTAAATGAAAACGTCAACAATGTACTAGAAGTTGGTGATCATGGTACCACTTACGGTGGTAACCCATTAGGCTGTGCTGTTGGTAAATATGTCATGGATACAATTGCTGATGAACAATTCCTAGCACAAGTCAATGAAAAGGCAAAGATCTTCATGGACCGTCTTGCAAAGATTCAAGCTAAATACCCATCTCATATTAAAGATGTTAGAGGCCTAGGTTTAATGATTGGTGCTGAATTCACTGAACCACCAGCTAAGGTTATTCAAAAATGTAGAGAAAATGGTTTGTTGCTGATCACTGCAGGTAAGACTACCGCTAGATTCGTCCCACCACTGACCATCTCTCATGAAAACATTCAAAAGGGTCTGGATATATTTGAAAAATCTGTAGCTGAAGTTTACGCCTAAATATTATAGACTAACAACACCAACTCAAAGATATATATTATATATATATAGATGCACAATGATATAGAACTATTAGAATAATTTTTTATTGTTTTTTCTTCTTATAGATTTATTTATTTATTATTATTTGATATATGTAATCGTATATGCTCCTTAAATATGAGGAAATAGAAAAGCTGTTTAACTAATTATAAGTTAGGATATTAACTTACAAATTTGTATCAAGAAAAAACAAATGTCTCTCTCCTATTGATATTGAAAAAAGAAAGCAAAAACAAAGACAAAAACCAAAAAACAATACGTTAAAATGTGACGTGTAATGGGTAGTATGTAGTAGTAAATGTAATTTTTTAGTATTATTAATATTAATATATTTTTTATTTTTTAAATTCTCCCTTTTTCATTATCTTTACAATGTGATAGATGGCTGAGCATGTCTGTCGTTAGCAGCAGAATGAGGGTAGAATTCTAGTAGACCATCTTCAGTTAGCTTTAGAACAGTCTTGAACTTTGCACCGATCTTGGTTAATGGTTCTTTGTCTTCAGATTTAGTCCATAGAGCAAACTTGTTACCACCTTTTCTAATACTCAAGACGACACCATTAATTTGAGAGTCATCTTCGTCAATAGTTTCACCAATGACAGCTAATAAAGTTCTCAACCATAATTCGTCAATGTCGGAACCACGACCCTTCAATTGGAAGGACCATTTACCACCTTTAGAATTAGCTTGATCTTCCCATTCTGGTCTAATATCGTTTCTAAAGACATGATAATCAGACTTTAGAGGTAGTTCATGTGGTTCTGGGATGTTTTGGATGATGGCCCAGAACTCTTCGACAGACTCGAAAGTAGTAACTGGACGCAAAAGGTCAGACCAAGATTCAGACTTGTCTACAGCTGGCTTGGTGTACCATAGAGTCCACTTGGTGTTCAATGGGTGCTTGACTTCAAATTCCTTGTTGTCAGATAGCACGGTCTTTGGAGCATCGTCGTTAACGGTAACGTTTTCTAGCTTTTGAGAGACTTCTTCAACAGACATTTTGTGATCTTCAAGTTTCGACTTTATATTTATATTCTATCTTATTAGCAAAGAACAACTTACAAAAAAAACCCTCTTCTAAACTTATCAAAACAACCTTTCAATATTCACAATTGTTATATATAATTCAACAAGCCAAATATTGTTTCAGATTCTCACAATCCAAAAGCTAAGCAAACTATCCATTGGGCATCAACCTGTGGTTCACAGCTTTCAATCGCTCTCTCCCTCGCCATCTCTCAGCTCCTCCAGCTCCATTCAGCTTTTGCCCTTTGAGTTCATCAATTTTTGTTGCCAAAATTTTCGTGGCACTGAAAATTTTTTTTTGCTTTCGCTGGTGATTATCGTTTTGCACGGCATACATGCACGTGACCTAGCGACATAATTTATATTTAAAAGATATAAGAACTGGGCAACAACTTTTAATTGTAAGTATGGATGGGGGAAATGCGAGGACTAGGTTGACAGTATGGAAGATTACCATTTGTTTACTGGGTAATCTTTGTTCTAAGCTCACTTGTTAAAACTGTCGCCTGTTGTAAGGAAGATTCAGGTAGCGGAATGAATTTGAATTTCGCATCCAGATCAGAGAACTTAACGGTATCAAGGTACTCAAAACGGTTCTAACTCTTCAGAAAACTAGCTGAACGGGAGGTTCTTTTCTTCTACGTACATAATAATATTGAACACCTAATAAAATGGAATTTCTTTGAAGAGATATTTTCTTTTCATATTGGTATGAAGCTCCACGATTTCTATATGACTATATATAAAACTAATCAATGAATTACAATCTAATTGCTATGTTAAACTCTGTACTATATACAGTTTAATAACGTTTGTAATATTTAAATTTTAACGGCTATACTTCTTATACATCTTTATATTTAAACTGAAAACACATAAGATATTTCAACTTTTAGATGAAGTTAAATAAGGGATTATGATATTTTTGAATTGGGGCTAAATACATAAAAATTAAAAATCGATAGTGACCACCTATATAAAATATTGAACTGAAAAAGCCATTTTTTAGTTTACTATTTCTAACTCAGAGCTGCTAGTAGTCTCGTCAGCGTTTATTGCTTGTAAAATATCAGGTATCAAGTTGAAAAGCTGCAACTTTTCCTTCCCCAATACTTATTTGGTTACTGAAATGGTACAGATACCACAAGTACTCATGAGACTCTAAGTCAAAGACACAACTAACTTGATTACCCATAGTTACGAAGTCATTGTTAACATCTAAATAATCCATGCCCTTCCCAACTCTGTTGCAGTGTTTTCTAGATTAAAATTCTCCTCTCCCTTCTGTAAATTATGTTTTCATCAACGGACAGTAAGCTGTATAAATGAACAGTTCCAGAATGACTTCAAGATACATGAACTAGTCACCCAGTTTGGCCGTTTTTCAAAATTGTTCCATCGGAAAGCACAATGGTCGTCGCTGGTAAACTAGTTACATTGCCAATACATCGTTGAATAGATAGATATATCATGAGCACTTACTTATGATTGAACTGCATCAGTTTCTCTTTTTGAGATACCAAACAGATGAATTTCCTTCATCGCCATCCGGAAACCAATTGGGACATAAACTTCCCAACCCGCAATGGCAACTATAGACACCCACAGCTCTATCAATTGCTCCCCATACACAGTCAGATTTTCCAATTCCACATCCAGTAGACCAGTTTCTACAACTTTCTATTTAAATCCTTCATTTCAAAACCTTCCCTAGCGATTCGGCCGAATCGGTTAATTCTTCGGCTTTGCGTTCATCTCATAGCAACGGGACCTAACAACATATTTTATATTAAGTAATCTTTACAAAAGATGTCTCGAAATCCTATTAGTAACCCTTCCGGTAATGTCCTCTAATTTTCTTGCTTCAACAATGACGTGTACTTGAGCTTTAAGATGTGAGCTTCTGGTAATTCCTTCAGTTCTGCCTTTTTTGAATAACCTGCTAATTACATCCTGGAAGCTTTAAACGACGGGGCTTAATACCGGGCGGATATAAGAGTTTGCGTTATTTATTTATCTGGCAACAAGAGATGCATTCGTTATATAGTACCTGCAGCGACATCCAGTGGGTAGGCTTGTTGTTTATTTCAGTTATTGCATAAAATGACAACTTGTAGCCCACAACTTCCATAAAAAGAGTCAAATGTTCTCGAGGAACCGTCTCTACGTGAGCAGCCTGCGGCATTATAGATGCGGTCACTACAGTTCACTAGCTCTGTGAACAGATTATCTGGGAGCTAATTACGCAGATGAACAGTAACAATACGACTTGCAAGTTGCAACTTGTAATGAGATGCCAGTGACTACGCATCGGTGGCTGGAGCTTTTGTAGGGACATATAGAAGGCTGCTTAAATGGGAAATATTAGACGTTGGTTGAGAGTGCTTTATCGATGAGTATTTTAAGGAGAATATTGTAACGTTTTGGCAAGATTAGTTTCAAAAATTTTCGAACTGTTCGGATTGCATGCAAACCATCGGTAAATATACGAGTAAATCCATAGGTTTATTATGCGTTTTAAGTTCTATATATATAAATATATATATAGAATACGAATTTGTTTCAAACTAAAAGTGATAGTTGAAGAATCATTTAATGCTTGAGATCTAAAAACGCAAAAAATAAAGTATATAGTCGGTCTGCCAAAAGTGAAAATGACATTAATCCACCCTGGAATTGTTACGAAACTATGTCTTTGGTCTCTTTTGGTCTCAGCAAATATTATAGGGAGAAAATTTATAATTCGGAAATATGATGGTGTTGAAGCTATAGTAGGTGTTAAGAAAAATATGTCTAACAAATCGAAAGCCCCCTGTCGTAAAATTTGGATTGCTTTATACTGGTTGGGTCCGTTATTTAATACTTTAATTATGGTATTGCTGATGTACATCGTAGATACGGAGCCAGAGGAAATGCAAAAAATTATAAAATTAATGCAGAATGAATTCAAAGATTTGAAGGAAAGGGTGTCTAATATCTTAAGTTCTAATATACCGGAGGAATGGTATTTTAAACTTAGCGAATTTAAAGGAAATATTACCCAGTTGATCGATAATTATGCGACGACCAAACTTGCTTTTTTTTTATTACTAGGTTATTTCATAATCTCCTTTGTCATTGAAGCAAATAGATAATTGTATTACACGATGTTTGATTATACAGTTTAAACCTGACCAGATGTGATTGATATACAATTAAAAGCTTCCAACCTCTGTCGATAAGGAACGGTGCTATTGGGGTGTTTTTAACAGATAAATTAGCATTCTAAAACGTAATCAGTCAACAAGGTATGAATCGAGAAACATCGACTAAAATATATACGTCAATAGAATTACGAAAATATATGTACTTATCATGTAGAGGATTTTGTAAAAATTTAGAGAGTTTAGTGTGTAAGATTTGGAGAGAGAGAAAAGCATATCGAAATATGTTAATTAATAATGAAATGCTTCTCATGGTCTGACTTATCTTCATCTTTGCTTTCATAGATCAAGAGAAATTATCTAATCGCATTGTTCAATAGGTTTTGGAGGACGGTCATAAATAAAAGGATCTCATGGAAAACATGCACTTTTAGTATCCCCCTCCCTACCAGGCTTAACTTCAAACGTGAGAAACTTTTCTCTAGACCTGGGAGTAGGAATTGGGGTGAGATATTAAAATTTGTGCCCTATAGTAAAGAGCCGCAATGAAGAACCTCTCCTTCCCAAGTCCCAAGTCCTAAGTCCCCCAAAACAATGGGGCCACGCTTAAAATCCTAATTTCGTGATATTAGGGTAATGTTTACCTAATTTGGTGTATTACTATATTCTAAATCCTTACATCTACAAGCACAGGTATCCTTTTGTTAACTATATATAGCCTTATTTGTGTTAAAAATGCAAGTAAGAAAGTATCAGATGCCGTATTGTATATAGCCCATAACCAATTACGTACCTAAGGATCGTAATTACTCCGCTCCTTTCTAAGTGAGAGAGATGTTGCAACATTGTCTACTATTAACCATACACTTTTACACTTTTCACAACAACAAACTTTCTAGAGTTAAACATGAAACAATCACAGTTCCAGAATTTAACTTAGGTTCTAAAGAATTAAGTAGAAACTTATAAAGATTCTATACAATTGATAAATTACTGACCAAAATCAATTAGTATGTCTTCCATTAATAATCAAATTCTTCATGAAGTAAGGGCCGAAAATACTTCTGATTTTTTACTTAAGGTTACCCTAAAATCTGGGAATTGTATAAAAAGGTTGAACACAATGCTTTAATATTAAAAAATGATGTATCCAATATTCCTTTCACATAAAAGCTAAGATCGCAATATCTGAAGAAATAATGTATCTAAAAATATATATTATAACATAAGATGAATAATAATCAGGTAAACTGGTATAGAAAAATATTCAGCAGCTTAAATTAACTGTCATAACATTCACCGTCAAACCCACCGTATGAATTGACGTACATTTCACTTTGAGCGACTGTCTTGCATAATCTTTGGTCACTTAATCCTACACCAAGGCAGAATTTATTACGTAAACATGCACCATCGCCTTCTGTAAGCAACTCTCCAATACCTTTATTATTTTCAAATGGGTCACTAACCTCCTGCATTGTCAACATAATCTGCAATAACCAAAAGTTCGGATTCCTGAACAAGTAAACCATTAACAGTACAACTCATCCAATTAATGTTTTCACGTTTTTTTAGTTCTATGTTTTCACCTTTACTCCAACTTTTAAAGTAATCGTGGGCCGCACCAATGTTATCCTTGTCTGCAGCTGTAACGATGACTGTACCATTAGAATGTTTGTACGAAAAAGTAGCTGGATATTGAGAATAATTTCCTAGAGTTGCATGGGCTATAGCGCTATGATTGTCACCATGACCTTGAACAAAATAACCGTAATCAAAAAGTTGCCATTCTGATTGTTCATCACGCTTAACCAAGTCTTCTTCAAACAACCCACTCATGTATTCATCCGTAATAGTAATAGAGTGATTTGTAGTACCATAGTAGTAGATATTTGCATTATTTCTTTTGGCTTTTTCGTCGTTACTTTCTGTGGTGGTGACACTGACAGACTGCCAGCCAGTAACACCCACTTTCATAGCGCACGTAGCAGCTAAAGTCTTCAGAAGTATTGATCCTGTATAGTACCCAACACACCCCCATTGCCAACCGCTGGTTGATCTTCCCTCAGATTCATTGTTAGCGACCTCTTTAACAAAACCAGTAGGACACACGAGGTCAAAAGATCTTTTAACTTCATAGGAAAACCCATAAAAGAAGATGATTCCAGCACCTGCTGCCCAATCATGCCATTCAACAGCAATGATAGGTACACATATGAATGATGAAACAAAAAGAGCAACAGCAAAAATCTTTCCTAAAGGTGCCATTCTGCAGGTTCGAAAATTTAAGTAGTATATTGAATTCTGTTTATTTACATTTTGTTTAAAAGATAAACTAAAAAAGATAGAATAACTTGAAACACAAAATACAAAATACCTACTTTACATACTTCAGAATTTTGCGGATTATTTTCAATAATCGATGTTAAGAGTAAATGTGAGATAGGAAGTTCCATCGTTCCTAAAAAATAGTACCCATTTCTCAAGAGATTAATGTTATTGTTTCGGCTGCACAGAATTCTGATTGTAAAACTTAGAAACAGGAAGCCAATTTCGTTATTTTTACATCAAGAAGATATCATAGGCACCTCGAATTATATTAAAAATAAGATATGAATCTCGAGAGTCTTTTAATTTCGTTTTGTCGATCAGAATTCCTAATATGCTAAAGTTAAGGAATTGCTCCCGATACACTCTGATTTTCCTTCTTGGTGATTTGACATCCAGAAAATAGGCAGCCCGTACGTCAAACAATGCACTTTTTTGGTACCTCTGTACTTTTACTACATTTCACCTGTGCACTGCCATAACATACTCATTGTACTGAAAGTTTCATCAATTTTGAAGAAGAGAAGGCAGTTTTGAACGGAAAATGTTTGATCCCATTGAGAGTACACTCACTACGTAAGCAACAAGAGCGTGTCAATGTCGAAGTTCGAACAGAAGAAAGCAAACGTACAGAGAGAGAAATTGTAAAAGTGTGTCGTTAATAGTGGACATATTATGATTAATCTTCGTTATCTTATTATCCTAAAAGAGAACTTCATACATAAAACTATACAAATACTTGCAACCGTGAAAGGTCATTTATTTCCCATCTGGATATATTGCAAAGTATGTTAAGTGCTCACTAGTTAAGATTGTTACATCACAATCTAACAAATCGATGATTCAAATCTTTAATCATGTCTTCTAATAACGAACACCCTCTCCAGGAGGCGAGTTGGCTTTGAGTTTATGTCACAAGAAAAACCCTAACAAAGGTATATTAAGTAACCTTTATAAAAAATATCTCAAAATTCCATTAGTAACCCATACGGCAATGTCTCTCTGACTTCCTTGGGCCAACAACGACGTGTACTGGATCCTAGGATGTGAGCTTCTGGTAATTTCTTCAGGTATTATTTTATTATGCTGGAATAATATATCTACACACTGTTGATTTTAGAAAATTGGTTAAACATTCGATCTAGTTGCTTTAAACGACCGGACTTAATACCGGGCGGAGATAAGAGTTTGCGTTATTTATTTATTTGGCAACAAGAGATGCATTCGTTATATAGTACCTGCAGCGACATCCAGTGGGTACGCTTGTTGTTTATTTCAGTTATTACCTAAAATGACAACATGTAGCCCACAACTTCCATAAAAAGAGTCAAATGTTCTCGAGGAACTGTCTCTACGTGAGCAGCTTGAGGCATTATAGATGCGGTCACCACAGTTCACTAGCTCTGTGAACAGATTATCTGGGAGCTAATTACGCAGAAAAACAGTAACAATACGACTTGCAACTTGTAATGAGATGCCAGTGACTGTATCCTCAGTTTAGAACATCATGTAAAAAAGACTTTAATATACAGTCTATTCCGTACGTTAATATACTGACCACCTTACTAAATAATTTTCACAAATGTTTATGTTGCTATTAACTACTGAATAAGGGCAGATACTGAAGCTCTACATACGCAATTAAGTCCACGACTGTTGTTGTGCTATCTCTATAACAAGAACACCAAACTAGTGGTAGAGCAAGAGTAGAGGGAGTTTAGCTTGAGAAGAGTTTTAATACTTTATATAAAAAGCGAACGAATTTCAAATTGAACTTACATCTGTCTTATTCTCAATGTTTTTACTCTTAGATCCGTAATAGTATTACACTGACGATGGATAATATAATAGTATTCTCATTGTTTTTATTGAATA